CAAACCATAACTTTGTTGCCTCAAAACAACGTTAGCGTGCAACCAACATATGCAGTACCTCAAGTGAATTCAACGCAAATGCCAACTCTGAATTCAGAGGAAAACTCAGTTATACAACCCACGGCAACATTAGCTCTTCAACAAAATTTAACCGTTCAACCCACAGGCACGCCTGTAGCGGTTCAAAATTCTACAGAAGAACCAACAATATTAGCTACGAGTACAACAGCTCATGTGACTCCAGGAGTACAAACCATAACTTTGTTGCCTCAAAACAACGTTAGCGTGCAACCAACATATGCAGTACCTCAAGTGAATTCAACGCAAATGCCAACTCTGAATTCAGAGGAAAACTCAGTTATACAACCCACGGCAACATTAGCTCTTCAACAAAATTTAACCGTTCAACCCACAGGCACGCCTGTAGCGGTTCAAAATTCTACAGAAGAACCAACAATATTAGCTACGAGTACAACAGCTCATGTGACTCCAGGAGTACAAACCATAACTTTGTTGCCTCAAAACAACGTTAGCGTGCAACCAACATATGCAGTACCTCAAGTGAATTCAACGCAAATGCCAACTCTGAATTCACAGGAAAACTCAGTTATACAATCCACAACATTAGCTCTTCAACCCACAGGTACACCTGTAGCGGTTCAAAATTCTACAGAAGAACCAACAATATTAGCTACGAGTACAACAGCTCATGTGACTCCAGGAGTACAAACCATAACTTTGTTGCCTCAAAACAACGTTAGCGTGCAACCAACATATGCAGTACCTCAAGTGAATTCAACGCAAATGCCAACTCTGAATTCAGAGGAAAACTCAGTTATACAACCCACGGCAACATTAGCTCTTCAACAAAATTTAACCGTTCAACCCACAGGTACACTTGTAGCGGTTAAAAATTCTATAGAAGAACCAACAATATTAGCTACGAGTGCAACAGCTCAAGTAATTTCAGCGTTGATACCAACTTCGCAACCGCAGTGGATAACTGACCCTTCACCATCAGACACAGGTATCGACCTACAAATTCTTACATTTAACCTTTTTCATTCAGACAGGTATCCAATTGACCTAAACCTCACTTTATGCATACAGCCAATAATATTGTCAGTCATAACTGAACTAATTCAAGGTCTAACACCGCGGATAATGAAGTCATGCTTTTTAACTTGCAGACTCTAACTTACTTAGAAAGTGATCACTAAAATTTTATGAGCATTTTTTAATAGCTTTGTAAAACGTCTTTTTACGTTTTCCGCGAAGTTGGCAACTACTTGGACCAGGAAAGTGTTGTGGGGGGGGGGGAGACACCGCATACGGGCAGTCATCAGTATCCACGTTAGTGTCTTTTTTTTTAGAAAGAGATCTCAGACATGGGACTAATTTTTCCAGCAAGATATCGCGCAGAAATCACTCCATTTTTAGAAATAGTGTTGGCTAAGGCTTCCAAAATAGATTAACGATAACCTTTCCGAATTTAAAAAAGAGAAAAAAAACTGCGTGGGGAGAAAGTTCACGGGTGTGATAAACTGATATCTTTATGAGAAGCGGGCAGGTTTTACTTTCAACGCAACTTTTCAACTGTATATCGCCCATAATTACTCGCAAATGAGCCATTGTCGGTGAAACAAATGCAAATGAAAATTGCTGATTTATCTTCGCTCCACAGGTGTGCGATTTGCCTTTCGGGCGAAAAAGTACAATTTTGATCTCAATCTTCTGAACAAAGACTCGGAAGTTTATAAAAAGTTCGAGAGGGAGCTGAGTAATGAGGTAAGGCAACCCTTCAACAGTTAAAGTGAAAACATATCAATAAAGTTTTACCGTGGAGAGTCTGGGGATATGTCTTTGCCTTACTTTTTCCCGCACAGATGTCGAGCAGTAGTAAACGCAGTCGAAAAGCTCCAATCAATACCACAACTTATCGCTGCACTAAGATCTATGAACAAACAAAACCGTAGTGACGATGTAAGGAAAGAGTGGTGAAATTGAATTGCATTATTTTTTGTACTATTCTTGGTATGATTGACTATAGAATATGACAAACTGTTCGTTTTTCGTTGCAGTTCACTACGAATCTTGGACAATACGGTGTTAAAGGTGTGACTATATTATTTATAAGGTAAGCACTTACTCTCAACATTTTCCCTATAAATGTTACCTACAATGTATATTTAGAAGAGTTTAAGATACTCCATGACTATCACTATGTTTTAACATCATTAAAATGATGACAGGCACGACGTTTATGGAGAGTGCGTATTTTAATCAATTAATAATTAACATAATACGTAACAACAGAAATAGTTCTTTTCAGATTTATTTTATTTTCCTGTGTACATTGTCATCACGTTATTGAATTCTTACTGATAATAGGTGAACATTACTAACTTACTTACCATGATAGTTTATTTTATCAGTTTATTCAGAGTTTTTTTGTCCATTTTTTCAGGATTACTACTATAATTAAATGGTAAAAACCCTTTTTTAACAGCCTTGTATGGATAGAAAAATTTCTGACCATTCTCTGAAAATTTGAATGGTTTAAAATGTAGAGAGATTTTGAAAGACATCAACCGACGCGCTGTCAGAGAGAATTTTTTTCCTTGTGATAAATACTAGTATTTCCGCTTAATTTGATAGACCGGGAAGTGTGGAAGTTACAACTGTTTTGACTGTTAATGACAGAAACAACGTCTCAAATGTCGAAGGAGCATTGAACAACTTTAACCAAACTGGGAGAATCGGCAACATAGAGCTTGTTGGAATTTTCTGGAAGTCTGAAGGTGAGGAAAGCGAGCTTTGTTTATTTGTAAGAAAAGAAAATACGTGCGTTCAAGATAACGACATCAAAAATTGGAACAGACCTTAAAATATTGAAAATTCCTAGGGAAGCCCGGCTCTTCCTCGAAAAAGGAGGCCCATCGGGCCTTCTAAACTATATCCACCCGCTAGTCGAAACTACCACTTGCATTAACTCCTAGTCATTCATTTGTTTCCTCCAACGTAAAGCTGCGTAGATTAGGGTTAGTCCTTGTTTTGGATTAGATCACTGAATCAATAAAAAGTTTTCAGTGCCGGATATTGAGGAATTATTGGATAAGTTCGAGCAATGATATCAATATCGATGCTGATGTCGTTTTCTTAAATCAGTGATACTGTAATGGGGTTTTGCTGTTAATGTCATTGCTTACTTTTGCTTCTTATGCTAAGATGAATCCTGTCAGCCTCCTGTTGTTCGTTTACTGAATCTGCCGCGATCGGAAGAAAACAAGGATGTTGGCATTCTTCGCTCCAAAGATTTCATCGAACACACATTCGTGAATACAAGCTGTAAACCACCACAAAAGCTGTTGTTCGGGTGGCGTTTATTCAAGTACAGTTTGAACCAATCAAATAACACTATTATTGAAATGACAACCACGTTGGACTCAAAAACTGCAAAATGGAATTTGCAAAAACGACAACTAGATTACGGTCTCTATTTTGTGGAATTTAAAGCAGCCCTTGAAAACCACCCAGAGGCAGCAAACAGTGCTTTGGGATATTTTCAGATACGGAAATCTCTACTAATTGCTGATATATTAGGAGGAAACAAAGTCACTCGTGGAAAGGGAAGTGTCATCAGATTGGATGCTTCTGCATCTAGGGACCCAGATGTGGAGCCTGGTAACCACTCCTCCATGGATTTCACGTGGCTATGCAAACGACGAGAAGAAAGTTTTCCCAATAGCTCTCTGGCCTCGGTTCCGGTAGTTAATGCGTCCTCGGGCCGAGGAAGAGGCGGTTGTTTTGGAACAGGTGTTGGGAAACTGAGTTCTAATAACATGTCGGTGTATTTAGAAACCACTCAAATGACTGCAAATAAGTCTTATGACGTCAAACTTGTGGTGAGGAAGGATGACCGGGCGGATGAATTCGTACAAGAAATCAATATTGTCAGCGGTAATCCGCCTAAAGTAATAATCAGGTAACTAACGGTGATTAAAAGTAATCAGCAAAATCAAATTTAAAGCACTGAAACACAAGCCTCTAGGTCACTTGACTCGATATCAATCTGCTGTTCGGGCTTTGTGCTCAAGTTCTTTTCCCGAACTCGAGAGAGACATCAAACTGAATAATAGGTCGGGGAGGGGGACCCTGGCGACAGCACCCACGTGGAGATACCATCTCACGATTGTATATCTGTGCACTTCTCCATGAGTAAACCAAATGTCACCATGTTAGTTGTGCCATGCTGTTGAGAAGACTAAAATACACGAAACAGCTGTATATGGCCGCCAACTTAATTCTTAATTATTTTTTTCCATTTCGGTTATTATTGACAAGACGTTTCTCTCATGTGCATCTACGGACCTTAAAATACCATTCACCCTATCAGCTGTCAGTGACCTAACTCATCAACGCCTTATCATAGTCCATTCACCTCGTGAAACATGAGTGCCATCATTAAAAAAAAAAAGCACCTTGTCTTGTTTCAAGGTAGAGAATTTCAAACTGAGATCTCAATATCTTTCTCTCCCTGTAGGTGCCTCCTAAACTGTGATAAGATTGCAAGTGCGTCGGCACGAATCAGTTTGACCACCGAGTGCATTGGAGATCCTTGTAAGGGTACAAAACACCACTGGCAGTTAACCGTTGTTGACCCTGGTGGCGTTAACGACCACGTAGTGGAACTGACGGACAAAACAGAAACTAATCTCAATTCCATTGGCATTGTAATAAAAAAGAACCAACTAAAAAAACTAAAACCAGGTTGGTTTTATCGATTGGAAGTCGAAGTTTCACAACAGGGTGGGCCCTCAGGATATGCCACTTACCAGTTCAGCATTAACGACCCCCCCCAAAATGGAAGTTGTAGTGTGACACCAACAATAGGAGAGGCCTTGAAAACGCAATTTGTCTTGGAATGCAGAGATTGGGAGGTGAGAAAATTAAAAAAAAAACAAAAAAAACCGAAACTATCGACACGTCTGACGAGTTACTTTTCAACAGAAGTAGATGACAATTGTTATGTTATCGAGGGCGTAGTTTACTTCTAATTAATTACGTATCTAAGAATTTGACCATTTGGAGTCGAGCTTTTTTTTGCCTAAATCATAAATTTGTTCCGTATTCAAGGCGAGGAAAGTGGACCTGTTTTTATTCTTTCTCCATATTCCTTTTGTGCAGGACTCACATAAACCAATTACGTACCAGTTCCATTACAAAACCGATAATGGCCTGTACACATTAATTTCATATGGCTCAGAAAATCTTGTTAGTACAGTGCTACCTCCGGGAAAGAAACAACATGATTATATGATAAAGCTTGAAGTAACGGTATCTGACAGTTTGTCTGCTGCAAAGATCATTGTTCTTCAAATAAAGGTATGTGCTCTGATATTTTTTGAAAAAATTTTAAGGCACGCCACAGACAAAGACCATAAGTAGTCTAAAACAAAATCAAGAAATGACGCAAATATATTTTCAGCTGTGACATTTTTTATCCATTGTAGAATATGAAAAACTAGCCTTCGACAGATGTTATCTTTTAAATTTCTAGTATTCTTGGAAGGTCTTGAGATTCCATGCGTCACTGGGATTAGCGCTTTAAGCCCCTATCACTACGCGTTCTAAATTCCTATAATTTGAACTATTTTAAAAAATTCAACAATTATCTAGTGATGGTACTTTAAATTTCAAATCTTGACATTTTCCTTTATGTTACCCAGGTTACACCTGCAAAGAAAGAGAGTCTCAGCACACTAACTGTCGGCAACAGCAGTCAGTTCAACCAACTAGTCCTATCAGGAGATGTCCGTGGCGCCACACAACTGGCAAATGCTGTGCTACAGAGCGCTGAGCAGACAAAGTCAACAACCTTCCAGGAGAAGATTGCTGTGAGTAATAAATTAACACCCAAACATTTGTTCATCAACATTACCTAAATTCATGGGAGAAGAGAATTACCTCCCTTAAGAACTGGCTACTTAAGTAATCATTAGCAGCGCGACTATGAATTACTGCAGGATACAAAATCTTATTTGAAGTTCTAAGGTTTCAGAATCTTTTCCCGGAGATTTGGCTTCAGTTTTCTACTGGTTTCAGCAAGTTCTCTCTTTTTGTACTAAATGAAGCTACTTTAACCTTGAAAGATAGATATCACAATGAACATCATTCACATTATATTCTTGCTTGTTCACGTACAATCTGAGGGAAGGGAAATCTCCGATAAACAATAATATAACAGTAAATTATATAAGGCAAGTATCTTTTTCTGAAAGGAAGATAAATAATTTGTAAAGGAGTATAAGTCTGTAACTTGCAAAAATGAGAATGAAAAGTCAAGTACTCCGTGAAAGGGGAACAAAAGTATCTTAAAGGAGCCATTCCACTTATTCTCACAGATTAAAGATTCTGTTGTTGAGAGTGTGTCAGAAATACAAGTTGGCAATTTACAAACTTTGACTCAAGTGACGTCAGTTATTGCAAGAGCAACTCTACAACCCAGCGAGGTAACATTCCATACCCAGGTATGTATCATTTGTATGAAAATGGCCCCGTGTTCATCACGTGATATAACCCCGTCGATAGTACATCTAGGAAAAACATTTCAATTTTTCCCTCTTAACATGGGATCCTATCACAGTTTTGTCCCTCAACTAATAATAAAATCTACAAAGGACCATAATTCGAAACTTTCTGACAAAAAAAAAATGTTTTGAAGTTCTGTGCTGCCTCTATATTTTTTTATCAGAAACTTGCACTGAAAACACTCAGATCCATGACGTCAATACTGTCAAGTAGAACGACAGAAGATTACGCTTCAGAATCTGTCTTAGTTGATGAAGGAGGAGAGAACCTAGTACTATGCCTCGGCAATCTTCTCTATTCCGCCGCTCAGAAAGCTGATGTGGTCAGTCAAACAAAAAAGCCAGCGGATATACGATTTAAGGTTAGTTTCGAAGTTTCAAAACCTGTCCTCGCGTTCTTTCCTATAAAAGACTGACTGACATCATGACAAGGATGTATTCTTGAGAACCTCATCAGAAGGTCGAACTTCAAACAACTTAATAAACCCTTCAGGGTAATATCTGCAAGAAGTTTTAAATCTAATCTTACAGAGTGAAAACGTCTCCAGAGACACGGCGAAACTCATTGATGACGTTGCAACAGCTCTGCTGTCAAAGATGCTAGTGGATCAAGAAACTCGCCGTGTTCATACTAGTTCCATCGACATGGAGCTGAGCCGGATGAGCCCGCGAGCCAGTGCAAACTTCACAGACGATGATGAGGCAGGATTTAAATTTTCTCTTGATGCCATAATTGATGACAAAGTGAAAACCCCTGAGTATGTTGAAAGCGTGGTAAGCCTGCATTAGTTTCCTTGAATGTCTGTTAGTCCTATTTTCGACAAAAAGAGCGGGTTCGCATATACTCAGTCTGAATACTTGTGACCCAAACATTTTTTGTGCCTTCGTAAACGCCATCTCGCAACAGAACTGCACCAGTGTAAACGCTTAATAACAAATATTCACAATATTCGTGTCTTTTTACAGTTGACGGTGAGTGCCTTTAATCCATTCACATGGGATAACAGTTCAGCTATTGTCAGGGATAGTCATGTCCTTACTTTGAACCTTAAAGATAACAAAGGAGAACCTTTTATAGTCAGAGACAGCAAAGAGGATATAGAGATCAAGATTCCACGGAAACTGAGATTCACTCCAGAGGAGAGAGTATCGTTCTTTGTCAAGCCCAGCAGTGAGGGGAAAATGCAATATCATGAAATCAACTCACCAGGTGAAGAAGGGAATGCTTTACGGCTTCGAGTAAGTATCGTTATCTAATCTGTTTATTCAGAATCTTTCCGACACCTTTGTATCTGTTAGTGGATGGGGAGGGTCGGTCATGAGGCTGATTGGCTAGCTACAGCCCTGTTTTCATTTGAGCTTTGGACAAATTGACGCGAATTAGAAATTAATTCGGTGGGTTCAAAAGATGAAAAACCAGTAGGCTTTGAAATGAAAGATGAGCCAAGGTGGAAACGTCTGATAAAATCTGGGGAAAACTGACGAGAGAAGAAATAAAACACTTAAAACGTAGCAGAGTCCTCGTTCCACAAAAAGCTCAAAATTATTATTAATTTTGACCGAAAATGTGACACCCTAATCGGTGAGCTGTGTGTAAGTGATGACAATAAGAAAGTACAAAAAGGAAAGTCATCCTGTCAAGGCAACCAGTAGTAAGTCTGTAATACCTGTCACCATCTCCCATCTCAGATCACACCAGAAAGACCCACCATCTTTAGAGTGTTTGTGCGACAAGGTCAGCGGCCAACTGTCACAGAATACGACCTAACAAAGACAATCCCGGATGAGTCGTGTTCCACATCTCCTCAGACTTGCAGCAAAGAAGCTTACGATGTTGTCTTGTACCACAAACTGGTCAGTGAGGCGGGTAAATACTACATCGGTATATTGTACGAAGAAGGCAGAGGTACACCACAGAGACGACGGAAACGATCATGCTTCGGAAGTGGTCGGCAGAAGAGGTCGTGTGTGGAGATTAAGGATCCTCCAAAGCCCGAGAATAAGACAGTAAAGCCTGTCTATGACTCAAAGACAGACATGAATTACTCGATGAACATTTTGGAGGAGAGTTGCGTGTTTTGGGAGAGCAAAGAACAACACTGGTTATCGAGAGGATGTAGAGTAAGATTTTTTAAAGAAAGTAGATTTGCAGACATTATTACTTCCTTTCATATGACAATCGTTTTTACTTTTGGTTGACGTTTGGTAATTTCCCAGGTAATCTACCTACCTAAAAACATCTCGCTGCAGGCAAAAAAATTAACGCCTGTGAACTCATTGATTCGTATTCCTAAACGATCAAATGTTCTTTAAAAATACTTTATCACTTTCGTAGATTTGATAAAAGTGATCTTTCTAGCTGTGAACAGTAAACTTGGGTTCTCTACCCAAACAACAGACCAAAGCAGTTGACTCAATTCTTGAAAGCTTATTCGTCTTTTATTCAAGGTAGGACGAAGATCTGATTCAAATTCCTTGCACTGCCTGTGTAACCACTTGACGTCATTTGGAGGAGGAGTCCTGGTGATGCCCAATAGGTTGGATTTTGATGTCGTGTTTGCAGAACTTGGACGACTCGACCAGACTGGAAACATTGCCGTCCTTAGTGCGATCATTATTGTGTTGTTGTTGTATTTGCTAGTGGTCATATTCGCAAGGAAAGCCGATAAACGAGACAAAGCTAAGGTAGGTGTATATGTTTTTGTTTTTGTTTTTGCTTTTTTTTCGTAAACTGAATTCGAAGCCTAAAAATATGTTACTTCTCACGAAAACGTTTTTTTGGCCGATATACTTTTTAAGCTTTATTCCGATACTCAAAAATAAGTTGATCTAAGAAGTAACACTTGGCAATGTTATGTCAATACACCCCATCATATATGCGAAATGATCTTTTCATACTTCCGACCTCCATATTAAGCATTCATGCCAAGAGAAGAATTTTTATTTAACTCCTTTAAATCGTACTTTTCTTTTCCTTTTCTTCAGGAAGGCCCTGCTTTCCATCTACCTTTAACCCAAGGTGCAACTTATGAGTACGATCTGACTGTGGTTACAGGAGTTTGGAGAGAGTCTGGGACGGATGCCAATGTCGCCGTCGTTATTCATGGAAGCGAGGCGGAGAGTCAACCCATAATATTACATAAGAACATGATCAACTCGAGGACAATTTTGGCTCGCGGAAACGACGACAAATTCGTTATTTATTTACCAGTGTCACTTGGGATTGTGCAATACATCCGTGTTTGGCATGACAACTCAGGAAAAAGTCCTTCGTGGTATTTCGGCCATGCTATTGTGAGGGACCGGCAAACAGGAAGAAAATGGACATTTATCAGCAACAGTTGGCTGGCTTTGGAAAAAGGAGAAGGAAGAATTGACAAGATTTTAACACCTATCTCTCGTCGAGAGATGAAGACTTTTAAACACTCTCTTAACTCTCGAGGCTCAAAGAGTTTTTCCGAAGGACATTTGTGGCTGTCTGTTGTAACCAAGCCACCGCGGAACAAATTCACACGCGTCCAACGAGCTACATGTTGTTTATGTCTCCTTTTTTCTGCGATGCTTGCAAATGCTCTTTTCTACAGAACTGACGAGACAGCAGATCCCACCATACAGATAGGTCCATTAAAGTTCAGCTGGAGGCAGATTGTGGTGGGCATTGAGAGCGCTCTGATAGTTACTCCAGTGAACCTGCTGATCACATCATTATTCAAAAATAGTGCGAAAAAACCTTCAAAGAAAGTTGATATAACCAAGCTGGAAGATAAACCCGAGCCTGTGCGACGCAACAGGTATTCCTCCTTAAGCTGCGAACAGGACACAAGCTGTGAAAAAGTTGCATGGAAAAATGAAACTTCCTTCTGGACGAGGACACGAAAACGGATGTGTGACAAGACCAAATAGGACTTCTTTTGACCTCATTTCTGTATCTACATTTCTTGGTTTCTATGCTTTGCTACAGTATCTGTATCTGCATTGTTTACTTTTTTCTTCAGCTTAATGTGGGGAAAAGACATTGCAAATCAGTGGTTGTCCTCTATGTTAGTTTCCTTCACTGAGGATCTGTTTGTTCTTCAACCCATCAAAATAGTTCTTATCATGGTTCTAGTCGCATGTTTCTTTAGTGACCGTGTTGACACTGACTTTAGTCCTGTTAAAAACCATAAGACAACTGAACAATTAACTCCCTTGGAAACAGAAGTTGCATATGACGCTCAAGGTATAATAGTTGAAATGCCGGAGGAAGCTGTGCTTGAACAAGCCAGAGAATACAGAGTGAAAGAAGAAAAGATGTATTCCTTTGGTAGAGAACTTCTCATGTATCTACTGTTCTTACTGCTACTAACAACCGTTTGTTACGGTAACAGAAGTTATCATGGATATCTTATGACTAAGAATATTAAAGACATCTTCAGTAATTATTCATTGGTAAGTATTCAAGAAAGCTAAAACAAAGAGGAATTTAACGAGCCTTTGCTTAGTCCCAGGACTCTGAGGGGGTTCTCTCCCTCCACCATATAATTAATAATCTGTACGAACCATTATTTCCCTGAGACACCAATGTTTTGACACGAAGATTAGCGGAGTAATAACGGTGCTGGTGGATCTTCATAATTAATCAAGTATAGTAGCCTTTTATGCCTCGGTTAATTGCCACGTGTCAAGTAGGACTCGCGGTTCCCCACATCCTTGTAATAATAATAATAATAATAATAATAATAATAATAATAATATTATTATTATTATTAATATTATTCTTAATAATAATAATAATAATAATAATAATATTATTATTATTATTATTATTATTATGCCTCGGTTAATTGCCACGTGTCAAGTAGGACTCACGGTTCCCCAATCCTTGTAACTCCCAAATGCAACGAGCTGCACTCAGGGTCATTCGAATGGAATGAAGAGCAGTAATTCATTATTCTGGGCTATTTCGGTTCTCCTTCAGGCCAAAGACCCCAGGTTCTTTTGGACTTGGCTAAATGGTCAGTTTGTGGACGGTATTTATGCTGGTGAGTGGTACAATAACGACAGAGTCAAAGAGCAAGAGTACATTGGTAACAAGATGTCCATTCTCCTAGGTGTGCCTCGTTTAAGGCAGCTAAGAGTACAGAAAGGCAAGTCAGACAGTTTATTAACTCCAAAAAGCAAGTCACGTTCAGGGATGTTTTGTTACTATGAAGACCTAGTTTCTTTCGTATTTATCATAAATCGCTTTCTAAGTGAAAAAAAATTAAAATTTGCATTTGCTAGTTTCAGTTCGGTTGCATATTATAAATTAGTACAGTCCAATATAGACAATTTTCTTGAGGAACATGTTTTAGAAGCCATCGTTGAACTACAAGTTGCCCTATTAATTTTGTTTGATATTGCTGTTTTAGATTCCTGCATGATCCCAGAGGAGTCAAAGGAGGTAGTAAGGCACTGCAATGACTTCTACAGCCTCAGCGAAGAGGACAGAACTCATTTGAGCCTACCTGGATGGAGGCCATTCACTGGCTCGGTTTCGTGGGCCAACCTTTCAGATCTTTGCCCGGCCCCATGGCGTTATGTGACAATGGAAAAGATCCAAAACTCGCCAAGCTGGGGTTTCTTTCACGTTTATGACGGAGGTGGATACATATCAGATTTAGGATACAGTAAACTGACTGCTGAGGGAATTATTACTAACTTGCGAGAATATGGTTGGCTTGACCGCCAGACCCGCGCAGTCTTACTTGAATTCAGCGTTTATAATCCCAACACAGGATACATAAGCATATCAACATATCATTATGAAATACTGCCAACTGGGTATGGTAATCCTTTCGCAAAGATCGACACGCTTCCGTTGACGAGCACGCAAACTGGTTTCTACCGCTTTTACCTGATTTGTCAGTTACTGTTCATTCTCATGGTAATCTTCTTTATGCTAAAAGAGTTTTATAATATCTTTAAGAAGAAATGTTCTTATTTTCGAAATGCATGGAACTGGGTGGAGATTTTGCAAATAATGTTTTCTTTCCTGGTGGTAGTTTTCTACGTTTTAAAATCAAAAATGATTCTGAAAAGTGTCGTTAAAGTGAAGAAAAACCTTTTTGTTTCTGTAAGTTTCGGGGAAGCCGTCGATTGGAGCCATGCGGAGAATTCCGTATTAGCTCTGACAGTTTTCACAACAACTGTGAAACTTCTGCGCATGATCCGATTTAATCCGCATGTCAGCATAATGATGTCATCACTTCGTTTGTCGAGAGGATTACTCGTGTCATATTCTGTCATTCTTGCGATTATTATTCTCTCATATGCTCAGTTTGGTAGACTGGCTTTGGGTGGGTACATGTTGCAGTATTCATCATTTCAAAGAACATTGTTTACTGAATTTGTTATGTGCCTTGGTGGAAAAATGGATTTGGAAGACCTAACGCGAGCAAATCGAGTTCTTGGTCCCCTCTTTGGATTTTCTTTTCGTGGCCTTATGTCTTTCATTTTCGTCAACTTTTTCGTTGCCATTTTTAATGATTCCTATGAGGAAATCAAAGACAACACGCACAAACAGTCAAAGAACTTTGAAATGCATGACTTTATATTGGAAAGACTGGGCGAACTTTTAGGATTTAAAAAAGAAACTCAACGAGAAAATGACGTTGACAATAACCCTGCCACGCCTGAACATACAGCACCTGAAAGTGTCTCGCATGAAAAACTAACATTTACATCTGTGGCAGTCTCTTCTCAGAGACTTTGTCGTATGGCGAGACGTAAACAGCCACGAATCTCGAAAGAGGAGAACAGAAATGAAAGAGCGACTGTAGTTAGGTTTAAGTGCGAGAGTACGGCGAAAATGGCTGATGTAGAGGCACGAAAAAGAAGAATTCAGAAACTAAAATGTGTCACATCAAGCTTTTTTGTCATGAAGTCCTTAACACGAGAGAGGATGTTCAGGAGAATGTCTGATTTGACCGATAAACTTGCAATGGACGAAGTGGAACAAGATAAAGAGCTTCTTTCCATTATTCGGTTTTTACTTCTAATGAATAGTTATTACGACGACTGTTATAGGATGTGTAGTCCAGATAAGACTTCCTCGTATGATGACATCGCCATAACTTCATTGACAACACCTTCATCCTCGCCAATATCTAGGATCGACATGGAAACAAGTGAACCAGGAGAAACGCTCGAACTTCTTCGAAGCAGAGAAACCTCGCGTCCGTTGCCGTATCACTTAAGGGGTATGGAGCTTCGTGAACAACTCCGATCAACTTTGGCAACTAAAAGAGCTAAAAGGGTGAGGCCAAAGCCGTCCAATTCTTTCATCTACAAATACTACGCGTTCCTTTGATTTCAGGTTTTCAGGGGACAGCGGCACTTTCCGAAAAATCCGGACTTATCTCTGTTAAAGGGATCAAACAAAATAAGTCCGTGTTCCCCGACGATGCACTATCATCACCTTCCTAGACAATTATTAACAAGATCCGATGATTATCCACAATTTAATTCTCTCTTGGCTAATAAAAATAAATGACAAAAGTAACATCGTGATACTAGAAGAGCGTAGATTACTTATCAAATCTGCCGCACACCTTTATCAATTCATCATTCTTGATTTTAAAAATGCAGGTGAAAAGTAATTCGATCACATCTTCTGAATGTGGTGCAAGAGAAAAATGAGATTTCCTGAGAATTCACGAGCTCCGCCAATTTTGTTTTTACTAGTAACCTTTGCTAGACTGTCAAAACGACTCTGGAGATAGCAAGAATTTTAAATCAGCAAATGCGTAGCCATACGAAATAGAAGGCATCGATGAGTAACGTTTGGCACAAAAACTGTAATAGAAGAGTGAAGTGCAGGGTAAAAAGAAGTCTGAGTGATGGGAATGTCTTTGAAGTTATTTTCTGTAAATCACAGCTATCTTTCCTTACGTGCAAACACTTCAATATATTTCCAGTTGTGAAACCCTATTATAGTTGATCAGAGTCCCCTGTAACACTTTTGGTCTGGACACGAATGTCCTCTCCAAGCAATATTGGTGAAACAGATGTATGTGAACTGTATATATTTCATACTAGTGATCGAGATTTCTAGTAATCAATCTCTCTCGGTTGTCACTGAGAGAAATTTCTCGTCGATAATATATCGCAATGAAAAACCTCTATCGTCAGTTTGCCAGCATGTCGTGAGAGTATATTTGCAAGTTCAATAAGTCGTATGTCAGCTCATCATCTCCGTTTGCAGTGCTCTTCCCGTTTCAAAATCGGTTTTCTCAGGAAGGTCATTAATAGCTTCTTTCAGGGTGGTAGCGTCGTGTCCCTTTAAACGTTTTCGGTGCCCTGAAACAGAAATGACGGAACAAATCGTGCTTTTTTCTTTCGCCGAGCAGGTTATCGACCAACAGATTTAATTATACCTTAATCACTTGTAATTACCTCGGCAGTCCGTGGCTCCTTCAATTACTTTGATGCGACAACAGGTCCGACACAAATCGAATAAACATTTCAATCCCTGAAACAAAAAGGACTCGCTATCAGGTTTCATTTGAGCATTATGCACATTCTTTCAGGGAACTAAAAAAGACTACTACTTTTAGCCGGTGTGGCAGGCATAGTAAGGGGGGGGAGTGGTGCAGTAGGAACGCATGCACCCCCTCTCCACGTTTCCCCTCTTTATTCCATCTCCGCAAGTCTCTCTCGCAAACGTCTTTTGGTCGTGTCACGTAAAGCGTTTTCTCCCCTAATTAAGGAGAGAGCATGTTGCGGGACATGAATAAACAACTGCTGCGAAGAGACTATCTCCTGATGTTTCCCACGCAGGCTCAATTGAAGGATTTTGTCCAACTCGTAGTACCTGCCGGTCATGCGGTGCATTTTAATATAGAATATAGAAGAGCCAATAAAGCTCTGTTATTGGCATATTTAGGTACTCTATAGGGTTAGATTCGTAACGAGGTAGCAAACCACTTCCTGGCTAATCAATCAAAGGCAAGAGTCGTAGTTAAGCCACTGTCGTGCCTACCTTTGGATTTACTTCACACTTTACACAGATATCCCACGTTCGTTCTGTTGAAAAATGGTACATCAAATAAGAATTGATCCCTTTTACATTCAGAGACTATGCATCAAGATCAGTTAAAGAATAAAGTTAGTTCTTAAATTAAAAAAAGAAAACAGAAAAAAAAACAACAACAAAAAGCCAAACAAAACGAAGTCAGTTTACCCCTTCGCGCTTTAACTTTCTGTTTCTTCATCGCTTTTCTCATCTCCCGCAACTTTGCCACCTCTTTGCTTCTCTCCTCTTCTTTCACCTGGTCCAGTGTTTGTTTGACTGAAGTATTAGATCTGAAGCAATGGTGAGATAAATGCATGCACTCAGTGAGCAACGTTTCGGCTCCTTGAGCCTACGCGCGAAATGCATTAACAGGATTTTACACTTTTTCTTCGAAGTTGATACGAAGACGAAATTTATTCTCATTTTTCCGCTTTTGTCATCAACAATCCGAGTAAGTCTCCTCCACCCTTAAAAACTCTTCACTAGGTTTTATGGAATTGAGCGACCTTCGACTTCACGTCTAAGATTGCTCCACTGGAAAATGTCAGCTTTAACTAGGTTCTGACCTGATATAAGGCTGACACCGCCAATAGGGAATCACAGAGGAATCTGGTTCGCCATTTTCTTCAATGTCTCTCTGAAACAAGTAATGACAAGCATTAGTAAAACTGTTGTTGTCGAAACCAAGCCTGGTCAGAAGATCGATTACGAATTTTAATGGGTAAAAGAAGTTTTATTGAGATGGATCAAAACAATTGAATAAAAAGTTTCTTGACAACAAGCGCAAGAAATTTACAATGATAGTTTCTCGAATTAGTTATTTCTCGAATTAGTTATTCAAAGTTGCCACATTTAATCGATCAGCCATAAATTCAGACATTTATTATTTCGCCAAACCTTTTTGGGTTTCTTCAACCTGAATCGAGTCTTTTTTCCAACTTATTTCAAATCTACTTCATAGCTTAATACCTCCATTAACTGAAAATAGAGTCAAATTTCTGCGGTAACTGTGTGAGATTCAAAATCTGTGGAGAAACAAAACAGAGGAACATTTACAAACCTGTACCCTCTCTTTTAACGTCCGACAAACTTCCTTCATGACCTCAATTGACTTGGCTGTTCCCAAAATGTCGCGCATGTCATGGTTTCTATCCAAGCTATAAAAAAAAGGAAACTTTCATAATCTTTAATAAACTTTACTACATGAATAAAATTCGTAATTATAAATTTCCATGACACGACTTTTCCCCAGTTGCTTTGAGAATATAGATACTACTCTGCGGCCACAGTAGATTTATTTTAACAATTGAGATATCTTCCTTGTCTGTATCAAGCGTACAAACATTACGAGACATTCTCTTAAATTTAGAAAATCAGTTATCACAATGAGAGTACCACATCATGATGACAGGTGTAAGCTCAAGTTTGTCGTTGCGCCTGGCAGTTTTCACGCGCTAGTTTAGGGCCAAGCCCGCCGCAACTAAGCCACACGTATTATGGTCGCCATTTTTAGTGACGACCTTGAGTAATTCGAGTTAGTTCAAGTTTCTTAGTGTGTTCTACGTTTTATCGGGGCAAAACGTGTTTTGTTAGTACTATTCCTATTGTTTGGTTCGTTTTTAATTCAGCGTTTCCTTTCTCCATTGCATCGTTTGTTTCAAATTCCTTTTGCCTTTTAGGAACCGTGTAATCCTTCGAGTGAATCACCGTGAAATAAAAGAATATTGATGCGCGTTCAAAACTTATTTGTGTCCCTGACCGGTATTTAAAGTGTTTTAGCGTCTACAACAGGAAACCAGTAGTATAAAGAAAAAAAATTCATTTAAAACTTTACATTTCTCTATAACTTGAATAATCAAGATAAGTAAGATAAGTAAGCTCTTATCGTAAAATCAAGACATTTACACCATTTTTATGGCCCACATTGCACTCTTAGTTACAATGAAGGTTCTTGGATAATCTTGTTTACCAAGATCTCATTTAAAGCCAAGTGTAAACTTCAAATTTTGATTTAAAACCCCACGATAAAGCACCATTGTAAAGATTCAATAAAAAGGAAGAAAAAAAAGAGGCAAAAAACTGCACAAAAAAGTACAAAAAAAGTAACGAACGAATGTGAAAACGGAAGGTTTAACTGAGTTGCCACAAGAACGCTCGAGTGAAACACGTGTCATAATTTTTGACGTCTTTAATTTTATTGAAGGTTTACGGTGAATAATTTTTAATCTAATCTTTGCAGCTGCTTGAATAAAATCAATTTTCAATTCTTTGAAACGAGTTGTGTTCCTCAAATACACTGAGCGGATATACTGCAATTAATAAATATATATCTTATTAGACGTTTTGTTGTGTAGTATCGCTGAGTATTTTTACGAGTTGTGCCGTATTTTGCCAATATTTTGCCGTATTTTGCTCGTAAGGCGAGTCAAAATAAAAATAACGAGTAAAAATATTCAGCCACACTACACAACAAAACGTCTAATAAGTTATTTATTATCCAACACGCCAAACTGTTATTTCAGTGCGGGCGAATTTCGCGGATGTTTATTTACAGAGACTGCGTGACAGAAATATGCGAAGCGGAACGGAATTGGCGCGTTGTTGTGTTGCTGTTTCTATTTTCTCCATTAAATGAAGAAATTTTCTGGTCGTCAAGCTGTTTTTCTTCGTTCGATTCATCTAATAAACTTGGATCTATATTTGCCAGCCATTCTGACTCTTCGTCGTCGGAAATATGATTCAAATTGTCCGCCATTTGTTTTTTTTTTCGTAACTACAATCCAATTCTTCGCTTGCGCGATGCTAGAAAACCGGTTTAATTAACCGGTACTCTACAATAGACGAGAACAAATACCGCGTGATATTTGTACTCTAGAGTACCGGTTTAAGAGGTTTTCTCGCATCGCGCAAGCGAAGAGTTGAATTATAGTTACGAAAAAAAATGGCGGACAATTTGAATCATGTTTGCGACGACGAAGAGTCAGAATGGCTGGCAAATATACATCCAAGCTTATTACATGAATCGAACGAAGAAAAACAGCTAGACGACCTGGAAATTTCTTCATTTATTGAAGAAAATAGAAACAGCAACACGACAACGCGCCAATTCCGTTCCGCTTCGCATACTTCTGTCACGCACTCCCAGTAAATAAATATCCGCGAAATTCACCCGCACTGGAATAACAGTTTGGCGTGTTGGATAACAAATAACTTATTAGACGTTTTGTTATGTAGTATCGCTGAGTATTTTTACTCGTTATTTGTATTTTGAATCGCCCTACGGGCTCGTCACAATACGGCACAACTCGTAAAAATACTCAGCGATACTACACAACAAAACGTCTAATAAGACATACATTTAATGTACAGAATGTCATTCCCGTGTACTCGATAAGTAAATAAAACCTAAATGCAAAATTTGCATCTGGATCTGTGAACTAGTCAACGGTTTGCTCATCAACCAGAACTACGAATGATTTAAGCAGTTACTATAGAATAGAAGGCACGCGCAGAATTTCTTGGATACGCAAAGCCCCCTAAACTTTTTACAGATCTATTTTTAGCGCTCACATGAGCTGGAGACGAACAAAATGGACCTAATGCCTAAACAAACATTTACCTTCTTAAAAGTCATTATTTTGCGGCAAACATTCCATGCCTTGTCTTCAGACAACTACATGCAAATATGCAACCAGCCTTTGGCTTTTTATCAAGCCTTTTGCTTACTTCGCGACCAAAATTTTAAATTTCAAGTCAATATCTGAGACACGAAGAATCAAATTGACGGAAAAATCCTTTTCCGGGATAAATCACCTCGTATCGTCGAAGATTTTAAGAATAGTAAATAAATACTATTATGATTTGTAATTTCCAGCCGTCATTTTCGACGCGTCAAAATAATCTATTGTTCTCGAATGTAATCCGAAAAAAGGCGACACAGTCACGCTTTTATTCTCTCGCACGCAACTAGTGTAACGAGATATTGCTACTTAAAGATTGTTCTACCATTGCGAGTCACATTTCGACTGGAATCCAAAAAGGCAACACTACAGAGGATCTCTTAAAGAAGGCGCTCGTTCTTGAAGGCTAAAAGGCGGGGAGTATGTACATGTATTTTGTTCGCTGCGCGTCCTTCGTCTTAGTTCTACTTACAAAGGGTGAGTAGAATGTTTTGTTTACATAACAAGAATGGTGCAAAGGCCACGGTAAAGACGTCCAAGTCACGAGATTTCCGTATCTAAACGTTGCAAGTGTTGGATTACTCGCTAGCGTTGATGTAAAGACGAATATTTTTTCTCAAGAACTTGCATAATTGTCGATTGTCTTTATATCCGACACCACAATTTCTTTAACAGCTTAAACGTGTGACATTCATAGCTGACCGTCATTGGAATCTGCTAACAGCTGGAACAAACCAAGACAAACAATCCATGCAAACAAACGAATTATTACTTGCCTTCGAGCACAAGGTATCAAATAAACGAAAACGTACGAAATATATGAATACTCCACGAAAACCTCTCCGTTTACACATCAACGACGATGGAGAAATTTATAGATTGCGAATAATCAGTTAGACGGCCCACAGACTACAATTCGAACTCAAACTACAAGAGAGACTTAGAAAAAAGTCACCACAGCGACATAGCAATTTGGCTTTCTGTTGGCACTTTCTGTGTGAAAGAAATGAAATTGGAGAAGTTTCCGTGATTTAATTGTTAACATATTGCGCAACATTCAGTGTAGTAAAGTGGACAATTCAACTCTATCTAATTAACACTATAGAGTAAGGGGGCTGTAGTTTACTCTTCGGCCAAACTAATCCCATAATTGTCGTTCAGTTTAGTATTTTTCTCAAAATCTTACGATTTAGGAAATTTACCAGGCGGTTTCCTCTGGAGATTCGTCTAATTAGTTTTACTGTTATAAGATATGCAAATCAGAAAGAATGACCTTTGAAATTGCGACACAATTTAGCCAGGTTTGTGATTCAATACCACAAATGATTAGACGTACCGTGGGAACGAAATAAATTGTTTACAAAACAATTTATTTCCACCGAGACCTTCACAAATGTTATTTGTGTCACCTGAGAGGGTAGGTTTGATTCAGGAAAGAATCAGAAACCCCATGTCTTCCCATTCTTCTCGTGCATTAATTTTTTGCTCTTTTTTTTTTTCTTTAAAAAGATGAACAAAAAAATTCACGCTGTATTTGCATTCTATACATCAATTTTACTATAAAATGTCCTTTGGAAGCCAAATCTAAAACAAGTCAAAATTAAGAGAACAACAAAACAGTACAACTGGTACACGAGGTTCTTCGTACTGCACAAAAGAAAAGCTGCAAGGCCTGTGGTTGGAAAAAGCGAAGGCACTCGAATTTCCTGCTGAGAAGTAACCAGAAATTAAAGATTCGAACCAAACGAGACAAAAAAAAAATGTCAGTCAGACTGGGGTTTTGAAAGCCCAGACAGATCTCCTCTTTCAAAAGACGAAAAGATATTTACTTGCAAAACTGAGTTTTCGTTACATACGTCAGGCAAGAACTGAAAGACATGAAAGTCTAATCCAATGAGAATATCGATGATGATCGCTTTATTTTTAGTTAGTAAAAAATAACAGATTGCGTGACAATAGTTGCGTGACAACAGTTGCAGCAACCTCGTTCTAAGGACCTCTCCCTCAGAAAGCCCTGTAATCGAAGTTCCTCTAGTATGATATTCATCAGGGTTCCCTATTGTTTTTTCAGTACCTTGTTTCAGTGAGGCCCTTAGATGTTATGCGTGTGTATCTAACATATCTTGGGAGGAATGTGATGCGAAAATGGAACTCATCGATTGTCCTGATGGGCACGACGAAGTTTGCATCAAAGAACATCAAGTGCGATACAAATATCACGATGGAGATGAACAGGTGGAACTTTTTTCCAGAACTTGTGGTACAGCAGATTTGTGCACAAAGAAACACTGCGAAAAGTTTGGAATACGATGCGACCCTAACTGTTGTCACGAGGATCTATGCAATAGAGCAAGCGCAGAACTATCAACTCAAACAATGTTGGTTACGAGACTGGTGTTCGCGACTTTGATCGCATTATTTCTTTCATGAAACAAAACCTTCGAATCTATCACTTATTTAATCCTCTAAAGCATATTAGGGCTCTTATCGAGCGGGAAATAAATTTTCAATTGCAAATGTACATAAGGGGTACGTCGCGGTTTATCCATCTTGAAACTCAAACCGCCATAAAGTTTTAAAATGACTCGCCATTCTGTTGTAATGTGACTACATATCACCTCTTCGCAATACAGGTCAGGCCTCTATCACTATCAGATACACTCTCCAAAGACACAACATACATCGCCGGTTTTTCTTTATCAAGTCCTCGAGAATTATCATACACAACGCACCTACAACGATTACGTCATCATGTAGACGGAAGTCCTAATCGGACAACGCGATAATATTAACGGATGGCAATAGAACCGAGGGGACTCCAATTCAGTGTCTAATCATACAAGGGATTTTACAAAATCGGACGAACGCGAAGTGAGAATCTGATTTGTTTCTCGAGTATGCACTGGACGACACAAAGTCCTGTTACCAATTGATCAAAACCATGACAAAATTCGAGAAAGAAACTAGACAACAGTTATACGTTTTTGTATATTAAACAACAGTTAACCCGGCGAAATGCGCGACAACTGCGCGTGCGCATGACACGTTCTGTCCACTAACACAGGCAAGACTTAACTGTCCTATTACATTGTCCAATTACATGACGCGTACACTGTCTTCTTGCGAATCACGTTCGAGACTTTTGTTACAGTTTTGATGATAATAATAATAGTAATAATAGACCTCTATTCACTATAATCACTAAAAATATTTACAAAAATTATGATAAAATGCTTAAAAATCGAAAAATGCATTAAAATGTCTGATGAAATTCTAAGAAAAGCTAGTGGATACACACTTCGTTTAATAAAAATGATAGCAATAATAATAATAATAATAATAATAATAATGATAATAATATCAAATGCTAAGAATATACGAAAATCAAATATTTGAACTGCGGTGAAAGAAACGCATAATGATAATGGTAACAATGCTAAACTCTTCTTGCACAGTATTCCTGACTTTGGCTAATAATAATAATAATAATAATAATAATAATAACAATGATAGTTAATTTAACAGATCCACGAGGTGGCTCTGCTCTGTTGAATAACATTACTTACAATTAAAAATAAATTACAATATGCACAATCAAAAAATGATAATCTCAGAAAAGATTATGCAACACAATTAAAAGTAGAAGTGGGACAACAGATTTGAAAATATAGTGAAATTAACTAATCACTTTGTACTCTATTACATAAAATACAATTTCTAAAAAGAAATAAGTTTGTTCTACTCAGTAATTTTAAAAATAAATATTTTTTTAACTATTCAGCAATGTAACCGGGCACATGCAAAGAAAATATTCTCTACCTTAAAAAGACTTCCCAGTTGATTACCTTAACGAAGAAACGGGAAAAGTCTACTATTTTGTTCAAAATGCCCGTCACTGACATTATCATACCCAGTAGCGGTGTTGTGAACGTTGTCACTCAGATGTGTGAAGCAGAAATGGTGATCTGCATGAGCCAGAGTGCCAAGGTAATGAAAAAGAACAGACAGGTTTGTAACAGAAACAAAACTATGTCCGGAAACCCACAGGTTAAAGGTCAATTCTTAACAAATGGTAAATACCACAGCGTACACTATTGAGTTATGGATGCACGCGGGAGGTTGCTAAGCACGAAAGAAGCGTAAGAGCCGTTCGAGGCGATAGCCGAGAGCGACTCTAGCTTCTTGAGTGCTTAGCTAACCTCCCGAGTGGATCCATAACTCAATAGTGTACGCTGTGGTGTTTACCATTTGTTTTATAACATAACATTGATACATTGTGGCTAAAGAGTTCCCTTTTATTTAACAAGTCTTACGCGACCGGAAAAAAAAAAGCGCGCGCGGAAAAATAGTCTTTGCATTTGCTCACGCCAGCAGCGTACACCCCTGGGCAAATGGGGGACGCTAAATTGACCAATCAGAGCGCGCGCTTTACTTTGGTTATGTTATAATTTTCTTTTAAGGCAACTTTTCCTATGCAAATTAGTTAAGCCCCAAAATTTAACATGGAAATACCACCCGGAAAGAGTCCAGCTTACGTTTTGACCTAATGATAAAATACAGAAGGACAACTCTGAAAATGGACGAAACGATACAATACACCAATGAACTAACAATACAATGGATATAGCCTTGTTAATCTGTTCTTAACCCATATACCACAGCTTTGTTTAAGCAAGTCATGAACCCAGAAAGACCAGATGGACTGGAGAAATTCACGAGGAAAGTGATAATTTACTTGCATAACTTAAGAGAAATATCTCTTAAGAATATAGGAAAATTTTACGGAACGGCTAAAACCTTTGGAAATAGTCCCCAGTTGGTCCGAATCCAACTATCGACAAAACTCAAGGATCAAAAGAGACGCTCTGACGAAGGGCTAACGCTCGAAACGTCAGCTTTTTAACTCTTTACGGTGGCCAATTTAAAATTTCAATTTAGTTGATATAACCAAATTACCTTGTTACCCCACCGACGCAGCACCACAGTTTCTTAAGAAACTTTCACCCTTTTTGACAAAGATAAAGTTTCTTTAAGATCAAGAATACGAAAAAGCATCGAGCAGCTATCCACCTCAGTTTCGTTATCTATGATCTGTGCTGGGTACCGTCTGGTAAAATTGTTTACAGACAAGATACCACCGACAATCTTTTATAAAACTCAAGAATAACCTTCTAACTCCACCGTTGGTGCTGATAAAGAAAGGCTCACGGAGAAATGCGAGTCACTTAACGACAAACAACGCACGTCGCCCCGTTGACTACTGGGTTAGGTTAAGAAAAGGTAATAAGCTTTCAAAGTTAGGATGTCACAGAAATAAGCTGATGTTGATTTGAAATATAACCTTTTAAGAATATTAGAAGTTCATGAAATGTTGGGTGAGGAAACGCAAAGAAAAGCATACTTTTTATACTATAAGTGCACCCAACGTCACCCAGCAAGACCCTAGAATTTTGTACAAAACATCGCTGAAGTTTGTCGCAAATTTGTTTTAAGAAATAAGATAAAATAAAATGCTAATGACGCTTACTATACCACTCGGGCAAGTGGCATTGTAGACTGTCAGTCATGTAAGACGGTCACACAAAATATGTAAAAATAGAGCTGACAATCGCTGCATTGCGCACACACATCCAGAGGTTTGCGGGAATGTGGCCACCAAATCAGTGCCTGTCAGGGCTCGAAACCGGTTTGAATATCTTCACGGAACGAAATTTCGAGACAGATGTCTTCAGGAAGCTAGAATTTAAGGTGTCGACCGGAGATAACTTGGTGGTTTGCGAAAATGAAGCTTGTGGCAATATGCTCGTCGTTGTTGTTAATATGGCTGCTGGCGTTCAAGGGTAAGTGACAAGCTTCTGTTTTACACAGCATGTAGATTTATTTAAGCTCTAATGATGTCTCAATTTCTGGCACATTTTATTCTACCTTTATGAAATTCCGCCACACCTGAAAAGGAATGGTGGACAGAAGAAAATATTCTGATTAATACAACTGAATCGCTTCAAATCAATTCTGATCGCGTGAAAAATCAATGGAATGAAACAGTTCCGGTTTAATTCCTCCTGGATTAAACTGGAGAAATGAAAAGATCAAACCAACGAGTCACTCCTATTTCTTACTCGCCGTACTTCAAAACTGTACTTCATTCAGTGCAATCACTTGTCGCAAATATGGCGGTTAATAAAAAAAAATCGTCGCTGGAGCAAATCGTTACAGGCTGTTAATCTTCACATCAACAACAACTTGTGCTTTGAGAAGTGATTTTACTTTCACAGAAATTTATTTCACAGCAAGTTAGAAATAGGAAACCAGTTAAGACGGCCAAAAAGGTTACCACAGAACAATTCCTTAACTTCTTAAACAAGAACTTGGCTGGATTTGTGTAAGTTTATCTTCCCTTGACGCCGAACGATTCAAATGAAATCCAAAATATAAATTCGAACTTCACTTCGCTGGTTTATCATATATTCGTTTAAGAAATGGAATTTTTAACTGCCACGTTCTTAAGCTCTATTTTATTGAGTAAAGAAATCTGTTCAGAAAAAAAAAATAGGATTTCAGAAGACATTTCTGCATAAAAAAATCAGAATTTGCACGACTGAGAAATACCCAAAACATCTCTTTCCTGCAGGTTCTAAAAGACTAGAAATTATCTCGATATGAAGTTTCAGACCGAACGCAAAGATCAACTGTTTCAATACATGTCACACATAAGTTATTAGGAAATAGACAGGAAGTAGTTCCTGGGGTTAGGAACCTTCAACACTTTCGTTCGGTGTAAAACAACATTTTCGTAAAAAATTTTTTCAAACTTCATGAACATCGATTTTGGAAAATTGACAACTATCGACTCACATTTTTTACCCTAAGAATTCGAAAACGCCGACAGATTCTGAGTTGGATCTTCTTCCGCTTTCATGATGTCGGTTTCAGTACGCCTGCACGAATTAGATCCTGCCTCGGGGAAGTTTGTTCTTGGCCCCTAAAAACCTTCTCTTGGTGGTGCAACTTAAACTTGTCATTTAAAACCTTGTATGTGATGATATAGACGATGATGTTTCGCAGTTTTACCATGAGGTTTGTCTGCTTTTCAAGATTATTTCAAAGAGGATCGGATTTCTAACAAAAATGACACGGAAGCAATGTAGTCATACTCTCGAATTCCATGACACGCAGTCGTACGTAACTGGCTCTAAGATTCTAAGCACAAGAACTATAATACTGTGGGGCTTAACCTTGAATTTCACAGAGGGTCCTTACTGTGCAATGATTTACCAAAACAAATTTGTGAAACTGGTCTGATATTGTCTTCATGTGGACACAGTTGCTGAGAAATTCAAGACTTATCTGACCAAGATCGGCCAGCCATGACCTCTCCTTGACGGAGTGCAGATGAGCGTAGTATCTCATATGAACAAATCAAGAATCTTACTTAAGAAACTGAGCCGGCACTGTCCACTGGAATTATATGAAGACACCCTCTTCGGAGGAACGTTTAATAAAATAACTAAAAACAATGCTATTTTTAAAAGTATATACCGGGCTGAAAGGCTCCTCTCAAATAAAATTCAGTTGATTAACAAACACCTTAATTACTTTCGACAACTACTGTAAGTCCTTAACCCGAAATGCAGTTCAAAGAATTTATGTTCTTTGTCTAAGTATCACTTTGTTTGAGTTCCGCATAGCTTCACTTTTTTCGTTGTTGTTTTCAGTTCCTTGTATTGGTGCGGATCTCAAATGTTACCTTTGTTGGTCAAATAAATCTTGGGAGGACTGTGAAAAGACAGAATACCTTCGCGATTGTGTAACTGATCACGATGAAGTCTGCATTAGACAACATCAAGTGACAAACGATGACAGCTCAGACGAAGGATACAAAGAAGTTTATATGAAAATGTGCGGTCAAGCGAGACTGTGTTCTGTCAAAGATTGCGAGAAGAGCAGTACAACTTGCCAAATTGACTGTTGTCATAGCGACAGCTGTAACACCGCGACAAAACGAGCAGCTAATGTGAAGAGCACACTGCTTGGAAGTGTGCTGGTAATTTTGATGTTTCTTCTACAATTCAATTGTGTTCTGTGAGTGTTTAGCCTTGTCAACCACCTTACAACTGACAAAGAGTTTTAAAAACCAACAAACACAAATCAATTCGCAATAGTACGGAATAAGTTCAACATAACTTTCACTTACACGGGTATCACTGCGTTTGACCTGCACCGCTTAAGCGATAGGTCCCGATGGACTTAAACCAAAACGGGTCTGTGACGCGCAATGATACGGGATAAGTCCCCAATTGTGTTAAAACAAAACGGGTCTGTGACCTGCAATGATACGGGATAAGTCCCCAATAGCTTTATAACAAAACGGGTCTGTGATCCGCAATGATACGGGATAATTCCCCAATTGCTTGACCCGCAATGACACGGGATACGTCCCCAATTGCTTTATAAAAAAAACGGGTCTGTGACCCGCAATGATTCGGGATAAGTCCCAAATTGCCATGGGCTCTAAACAACATTTGCAATGATCGTACGAAACCGGAACTGATATACTTCACGGATAATTATGCCAGCAATCTTGTGAATTAACCTGATAAAATATCAATGAAAAATTAAAAAAAAAAGACATTTTAAGAGAAATTTCTGATCCCATAACATAGGTTTCATTGACTTGAATCACAATTATCCATGTCACTTTTCGACACTGACTAAATTTTGTAAAGATATATTTTTACAGTTTCCATCATTTGTGAAATGTTTATACAATTAAGGGACACTGTATACTTAAAAATCAAAACATTTTTGTACAATAGTCATCGAGATTAACACTGCCAAATACCTCTTATGTACTTGAGAAATAAAATAAAACGAATCTTCTGGTTACTTAATGAATAAGGAGAAAGTCGGCAAAATTAGTCTACAGCTGCCTATTTTCAAATGATATGCACAAACAAAATTTCATCGATATTTCATTTTCAAACTAAACAAGTTTTAATTAGAATTTTCTTTTTCGTTTTTATGGACGGCCACTGAAAAAGACATGCAGCGTTTACAGTTTTCCAAATAACCGAAATAAAAATCAAAGAGGCGTAGTTTTTTTAATTTTTGTCGTAATTTTTCAGTCCCGCGGACGCACGTGCAAGTGTGAGCCCAAAAAATTGACATCTGTTCTGCAGAATTGAATAAATATAGAAACCCAGATTTTGACGTTCGCAATGTCGCCGAAATTAAATAGCTAACAGGTCTAACGCGGCGTCAACTATTAAATTTCAATTATATGCGAAAGAAAATGAAGCACACGTTAAGTAATAAATTAGAATTGAAAACAAAAAATTGGAATTTCTCTGGCATCTTTATATCATCTCGAGCGCTGTAAATTCATGCAACGGAGCTTTGGCCGGGAAAAGAAGTCTCTGTATGCTGTTGGCTATTTGGAAAAGCGAAATTTTAAGCGGCAACGGTCCAAGCACAGGCTCACCAGCCTTTAAGTTGTGTTCATAACCGCAGTCAATTCTTTTCACCCGGCTCTGAAATATACTTGGGAAATTTCTGACAATTCTTTATCCTTTTTAGACATCAAAGTTTCAATTGAAGGTCACGGTTTATACACTAGTGTGTATTACAAACCTACAGACTCGCATAATTACTTGTTATATTCGTCTTCGCATCCATCTCACGTTAAGAATTCCATTCCTTTTTCTCAGTTTCTAAGACTTCGTCGTTTATGTAGTGATGACTCTGATTTCCACCACAAATCAGAGTCAATGTGCCAGTTCTTCGATAAACGTGGTTACCCTGTTTCCGTCGTTCAAGCGGGTTACCACCGCGCTCAACTTATTGATCGACATTCAGCACTACAAACGTGGCATAAGGAAGATTCCGACCGCTTTCCATTCACTCTCACGTTTCACCCTCACAACCACTCAGTTAAATCCATCATTCTTAAAAACTTTAAATTACTTCAAAACGATCCAGAGACAAGCACTATCTTTTCGCAGCCTCCGCTCATTTCATTCAAACGCGACAAAAACATAGGCAATTTTTTGGTCAGAAGTTCTTTTCAGACTAATGACCAACCAGGCACTTTTAAATGCGCTCGTGCACGATGCAAAACGTGTTCTTTCATTCACAACACTGATAAAATATCGGGACCTAAACGATCCATTAAGATCACCGATCACTTCACGTGCACCTCCGCCAATGTAATCTATTGCATAACTTGCACTTATTACAAAAAGATATACATCGGCGAAACAGGCAGAAGACTAGGTGACCGATTCCGAGAACACCTTCGAGACGTGGAAAGGAATGACAAGGACACATCGAAACCAGTCGCTAGACATTTTAATTTACCTAACCATTCTAAGCAACATATGGCAATCTGTGGTATTTCCTTGCAGTTAGGTGGCACGGAAAGCCGTAAAAATCTTGAACAAAAGCTCATCTTTCAAACCGGCAGTCTAAATACCACAGGGATCAACGAACGCTTTTCATTCCACTAATTTATTTATGTTTTTCTCGTTGCCATGTTCCCACCAATAACGTAGCTCCATTTTCTGCCTTTAAAAGCACACACAACCCACAATTCCTCTATTCGCTCCGACGAAGGGCTAACGCTCGAAACGTCAGCTTTTGTAATCATTACGGTGGCCACTTTACCATTTCAACTTTGTTGATATATCCAAATTATTTAAGTTGTGTTGACATGTAAAAAATAAAAAGGAGGATCTGTTTGACGGATGTGAATAAACTCTGGAAAACATATTACATATATTCTATCAATGAGTAGGATGAAAACGATAATGCTCGGAGGTGTAGTGATTTACGACTCCTTTGAGCCTTCTTAATTCTTTTTTTTTCACTGAAGTGCTCTCAACCTCCTCAATGGACGACGTATGAATTCAACGATGATGAGTGATTACGTCAGAGGATGTTGAAGGAGGCGAAAAAACTACATGCCCAAGTCTTAGCATTTCTATCCCCTTAATTGGGATTTTCATACCGAGAAACGCTGCAAATTTTATAATTCTCTGCTAAAATCAGAACACATACACAATTCGTTTAACATCAAGAGTCTATCCAACGTGCCACAGGGTTGGTATGCCTGTGGTCCAAGCTTAATTCTGTATGTCGATAATAATACAAATAAAAGGAAAAAGGGTCTTACAAAGCAATTTAATACAATAACATCATCAAGTAACACGGTGAAGCAGATCAAGTGACAAAGAAGGCGCCTTAACAATTTCACGGTATACATCAACGAAACGTGAGAGATATGCTTGGATTTGCGATGAAGTTATGGATGGGAACGCTTCCCGTTGCCTTCCTGCTTGCAAAAGGTACATCAAGGCAAGGTATTACTTCACTGCAGTTTATTTATTCATTTTTATTATCAATGTAATGTTGTGGCCTCAACAGAAATTCATCTTAAGATTCAGATCTACATTCACAAAACCTGTTAGATCACATATGACATTGGACTCTGATACTCAAACTCCTCGGACATGTTCACTGATCACCTGGTTATCGAAACACATATTAAAACAAATGTGGTGTGTTCGAATCATTTGTGGCTCAATGAAACCTCTTATTTCAAGCAATTTTCTTTGGAGTCCACTGTTTTCCGGTTTTCTTTTTTTAAACCTTCAAATCGGGCTTGCCTTAACCCTCATTTTTTTTAAATGAACTACAACGGACGATCACGAAAAATGATGATGTCCAGCGTTACCTTTCTCTTTCCAACATAATGAACCAACTACGCAGAGTTTTCCGGTCTGTTGAAAGCATCATAAAAAAAGTGAAATACAATACTTTCAAACGTGTATGCAAAAACCTTATCGAACTAATTTTTTTAATTCGAACGATATGAAATGATGGCTTTAAACCTAATATAGAACTTCATATCAAAAGAAAAGTTTTTTCAAAATTTATTGAAATTCAACCAATTTCCCTTTGCGATCTTTAATTAATTCATATCTAAACACGCAAAATTAAAAAAACTACTCAGACTCTCAAAAAGAAATTATTTCTTGACATTTAGGGAGACACTGACATGTCTGTAATTTTCCTTCTAACTTGATAAAATAAACATTGTCATCTAAGCCAACTTTACCAGAACGTTATCAAAGGTGAACAGTTCTGTAATCCAACTGAATTGGTCAATCACAGGTAATACTGATTGCGACGCAATATTTAAAAATATATTTTTCTCTCTTGAACTCGGAAAGTGAAAAGTGGAAACAACTGAAAGCGATGCTATTGATTCTATTTCTGGTGTTAAGATATCGGGGCAGCCGGTTTAATGTTTACATAAAAGAGACTTTAAATTTGATTCGTAGTCATGGCGATTTCATCTTGATTATTTTCAAAATTTTAACCGTTATAGAAAATACTTGGCATGATATTTCCGCACTAACGGTGTTTACCAGACCAACTAAGATGTAATTAGAAAAGTCTTCTTGTTTCGAAAGTTTTAGCTTCAATGTCAAGATAAAACATCAATTTAATGATCGTTAAACACCTGGTCCAGCTCAATTTCAATGACCCCGTGTGCGCCATATGTAAACTACCTTCCCGACACAGAAAACATACACCCGTGAATCTTTTACATTCCACCAGCGAGTTTTTCGGGCTCAGTTGACGGTGTTTTCATTCGCGAAATTTCCTTGGTCCGAGTCCACATGAAACATTCGCGAGACACGTCAACATACCGAAGATTTGAGCTACGAGACTCCGCTGCAGTAACTTTGCTAATCATCTTTGTTTTGGTCGTTTGTATCGGCAGAAAACAGATTAAATAGCTAAAAATTACTGATTCTGTAAAAATGATTTAAAATGCCTTCTTTATTTTGAGATAAAAATTACGAAGATGATGGCGATTGTTTATTCATAAAGATATTAAAATTATACAAGACTGTACTTCTAATTGACAAGGTTTGGAAGGAACAACCTTCACCAGTCAACATACTAAATAAATTTATGTTTGAATTCTTCACTTCCATTAATTATACCAATAATTATATGCCTTCTGGGTGTAATTGACAAGGTTTGGAAGGAACAACCTTCAGCAGTCAACATACTAAATAAATTTATGTTTGAATTCTTCAGTTCCATTAATTATACTGGGTGTAAAGCGGGCACTAAACCGGCGTCTCACTAAGTTTTCTATAAGTTGTGACAGAGGTTTATTAAACAGCAATTTAAAGCTATCAAGTACAGGTAGTGCAGATCTGGTTACAAAAACAGCCCTTTTAAAGTTCTTGAGGTGCATTTTATCAAAAAACCAAGACCATGCTTTTATCTCTGCAGAAGTTGTGAAGCAAATTGGTTCTTCCTCTTCCTTTTATTTTCCTTTCACTGTTTTTTCAGTTTTCATTTTTTACTGAGCCATACAAAGCCTATAATTAAGGTAAAGCTGATAGGTCTGTTCAACCAACAAAGAAAAGCAAGCGCAAAACACAATATATCTCCGTTACTCTTTCTCACTTCTGCAGCACTGAGTTCATGTGTCTGTAAGTGAAATGTGCAAATCAAACGTGCCTTTCTAAAAACCTTCCAAATTGCCTGTCCCATCAGACTACATTTTCGAATTCACATAGTATGGAACCATGGCTCTTATATGCTCTTCATCTATTGTGCATCGTTNAAACGTCCTTACATTTATCGACTCTTTCTTCCTTTTTAGAGGGGGTATTAACCATACATCGCCCTCTAGATCAGATTGAAGTTGGATTTGAGTTTCCTCTTTTAAGTGTGGTGTGTAAATTGAGGTTGTATGGAAGGAAAAGATGTCTTTTTTTGGCATTAACTTGATGGTCAAAAAACACACCTGTGCGAAAAGTTAATTCCGTTTTTTTGTCGTAGGGTTGTCTAGTACAGTTTGTCGGCAGAAAGTATGACGCCATTTTAGATGCAATAGATTTGTTTCTTAGTATATGCATCTTCATAAATATCATCTAAGTTTCGTTTAAGTCAGCAAAGAATGGTGTACAAAAAGCTTCTCGTCAACAACGTCTCTTGGTTAAAAACAGTTTATCTTTTGAGGCGGGAAAGAAAATTTAAGCTTTCTCACTGTGTGTAAATGTCAAGATAATTTTTTTTTTATCTTGACATCAAGCATAGTTAACTATGCATCAATCGACTGTGTTTCGATAGCAAGTTATTAAATCTGTGAGGGTGGGTTTCCCAAATGTAAACTCGACATAATTAACAAATGGTAAACACCACAGCGTACACTATTGAGTTATGGATGCACTTGGGAGGTTTGCTAAGCACTCAAGAAGCTAGAGTCGCTCTCGGCTATCGCCTCGAGCGACTCTTACGCTTCTTTCGTGCTTAGCAACCTCCCAAGTGCATCCATAACTCAATAGTGTACGCTGTGGTGTTTACCATTTGTTAATTATGTCGAGTTTACATTTGGGAAACCCACCCTCACAGATTTAATAACTTGCTATCGAAACACAGTCGATTGATGCATAGTTAACTATGCTTGATGTCAAGATAAAAAAAAAATTATCTTGACATTTACACACAGTGAGAAAGCTTAAATTTTCTTTCCCGCCTCAAAAGATAAACTGTTTTTAACCAAGAGACGTTGTTGACGAGAAGCTTTTTGTACACCATTCTTTGCTGACTTAAACGAAACTTAGATGATATTTATGAAGATGCATATACTAAGAAACAAATCTATTGCATCTAAAATGGCGTCATACTTTCTGCCGACAAACTGTACTAGACAACCCTACGACAAAAAAACGGAATTAACTTTTCGCACAGGTGTGTTTTTTGACCATCAAGTTAATGCCAAAAAAAGACATCTTTTCCTTCCATACAACCTCAATTTACACACCACACTTAAAAGAGGAAACTCAAATCCAACTTCAATCTGATCTAGAGGGCGATGTATGGTTAATACCCCCTCTAAAAAGGAAGAAAGAGTCGATAAATGTAAGGACGTTTATGGTTACGTTTGTTTTCCGCCTTGTACATTGCTAGCTCCCTTCTATTAAGACTCACTCGCACTTGATACGTTGCATATCAAATCTTTATGATCACTGATTGGTTACTACATCCTTACTGAAAGTGTAGTTCTTCGACAGAAATGTTTTAAAACTAAAGTGTGAAAAAAAAATTATATTCCTTGTGCAATATAAAGAGCTTACAAATTGCCTTTTGAAGCAATCATTTCATTATTAATTCCGGCACCCAGTGAGAGGTCTTCAAATTACTTTCAATGGTTTCCTCTTACGAGCTTCAAAGCACTTCTTAATATTCCTGTACTTGGCAGTTATAAAACCAAAACTAAAAGGAAAAATCCACTGAAGACAATCCACGTTTTCTATTTTCTTTTGTTTACATTTTTCTTTTCCTTCTTCATTTTGGTGATTTTTCTTTCGTATACATTTTCTTACATGATTTTGCAGGATTCATGGAATTAAAAATGCTGCAGTTGGTTCGCCCTTGGTGGCTAACTTGCAAAATACTAAAACACTTTAAATTTCTTGTCATTGAAAAACATTTGTGACTTAACCGGCAGCTGTCTTATTAAGTTTTTACTAACTGGTTATAAAGTACAAAGACGCTAATTCAATGTATTAGAGCTGTCAGCATACAGCGAGACAAATCACGTTCGAAAAATAATTCGTATTTGCAATTTTACGGAACATTTCACCAAAGAACAAAACCATGCTTTTTTTTCTAAAGAAATTTTGCTGCGTACTGCTCTTCCTTCCTCTCATGTCGGCGATAGGTATGTAGGGCCATGTACGGCCATGTACGGGCATGTACGGCCATGTACGGCCATCTATATTTCAGTCTTTTTTTATCATAAAATTTTCATTAACTACAGTGCATCAGCCTACAATAACAAAACTTAATCCTATACTTGCCATACCGTTTTCATTTTTTGTTTTTGTTTTTTATTTTTCATAATTTTAACGAACAAAATTTTAACAAATGCTGCTGTTGTCTGATATCGAGGTTAAAGGGGGAGAGGGGAGAACTTATCGGATTGATTCTGTCAGGTAGTTGGTTTCGTGGCAAGTCTGACCTCCTCATAAAACTACATTTCTTTTGAAGTGCGTGTGACGAGAAAAGCCCCTAAAGAAATACCAAGGTTTGGAGCTGCTTTGTTTGGAAAGAAATCGCATTAAGCCAGACCTTTCACTTGATGTTGTTCACTTAGATCGGTGTACGGCAAGCAAGGAGGTTCTTGCCAGAGCAAAATGGAACATTTTAGAGATTATGTATGAGAAACGATTATTAATTTAAGCGCATCAAGCTTATAATCGTCTTTTACCATGTCCTATGAAGTGTCTTTTTGAAAAGTATTTAAGTAGCTATGACCTCAGGAAGAAAATGACTTTAAAGTTACCAAAGACCGATACGGTCAAGAAATCATATTAGGGAGTTTAAGCAAATCACTACGGCTGGCGTTGCTACGGCTACCGGAAGTAAAATTGTCCAGAAACGAGTCATTGCGCATGTCAGTGGTTCCCATCCAGCCGTAGCGGGAAATCCTTCTACGCGAGTGGGAAGGTTTCGGCGTAGTCTGTGGTACGTGAACTTATCTCGCTTCTTTCTTCGCTTTATACATTCTCCTGAGCAATTTTAACTATTGAAATACACTTAACATCTTTAAAAATAGCTTATCGGGAATATTTATCAAGCTTGCTGTCCCTTACCGAGTGAATCTGCCTTTATTTTTGCCGCCGGGTTTGTCGAAGGATCGAAGCAGTGTGCACATGGAGAACGCAGCGAACGCAA